CCGTTGATCAGTAACCTCATGCGAGGGACTCTTACTTCCTCTCTCTGATGCTTTGCAAAGGTTTCCAGTTTTTGCCCAGCTGCTACTATCTTCTACACACTATAGGCTCTGTGTTACCTGTAATATATTGCATGTTATATGTCATTGCTCGCATTTTGTTGCCCACTACTTCAGGCTGGCTGAAGCAATAGTAAGAGTATAACATAGCAAAGTCCAGCCTAGTCTAGTCTCGTATAGACTCGTCTAGAGTCTTCAGAACAAAAGCTTGGTAAAGTCGTACTCGAAAGTCTTAAAAAGATTTACCACATGGTTTAGTCATCGAGAACTTCTGCTCGAAGCCTGGAAGTGGAACGCTTCCGTACGGTGTGCGACGAGGCTGATCTTCAGCTTCAATGAACTCCGGGCTCTCGTGGTTTTTGATACTATGATCTCTCTCCCGATGTCGAGCCGACCCAGGGTTCTTGAGGCGATTTCAGATGTTACCGCCTACGGGAGATGACAAACCCCAGCGACCCCTTGCAGGGTTCTCCAGCATTTCGAAGAGGATGAGAGGCGAACGGCCCATCCACGTAGCGCTGAACAACACCCGACCTGCCAACCGGGGTTGGGACGGCACTTTCGGTCAAGCACTAACGTGTAAAGCTTACTCCCTGTGACTGAGCGTGCAATGTACATCTCGATGGAATCGTCATGCATCTGAACTCCCCGTAAGCTCAAGCACGAATGTTCTTTCCTCTGTGACTGCAGACATCGGAGAAGTGGCAACCACAGCCGATCAGCTGTCTATATAAGCGATCTCAGCGATAGTTGTCTCAGCTTCACAATCTAATAATTGAACCCAGGCCCTCGGTATTCACCCCAACCAAGGCCCCATGGCTGCTACAGTATCCAAAAGCCGCAAAGGTACCTCTGCAAGATCTTGTTCTCAGCTCCAGGGGAGATGGAGGACGCAAAGAGGCTTCGAACAACACAGCTCAAGACTTGGTGCTTCTCTTCACCGATATACCCATTTATCATCCCCAATTAAAAACACGAAAGAAAATCTGAAGTGGACGCCCTATTCCCTTCATCATGGCTTTATTAGCATCTGGGGGCCCTGCGAATGCCCTTGCCACAGCCTGAGCTTGCTTCGCACACTCTTCACAGAATCAGCTCCTGGTGTCCATTTCTCTTGAAGTCTTTTCTGCGCGAGCCATCCGAACTTAGGGCCACTCCTCCAGGCGTTTCTCTTCTTCTTAGTGCTTAGCACCGGAGCTAAACGCGTCATTGCGTAAATGACTCCACTCTCTGATTTGTGTGTGGGCGGGCGGGGTGCGGCATCTCCGCGGCTACCTGCCCGAACCACGGCCAGTAATCAAAATCCTGCCTGACCTAGTAGAGCCTTGGGAATTGCATGGCGGTTCAGTTCAGTTTGGGGTACAGTAGCCATGCAAGCGGACGGCTCTCAACTCCTTCAAGCCCTGTTTAAGCAAGTCCTGCCACAAGCTCCCGCCCAAAACACGAAAGCATCAGCAGGAGCGAGACACCTCAAAACCTGGAAACCTGATGCAACAAACACCTCAGCTCTGAGTCCCCTCTACGCAGCAGCGCACAGTCAAACCCATCTTCTTGCTTTCGGGGCGCTGAGATTGGCAGGCTTCCAAATCCAGAGAGCCTGCAGGTCTAGACTCTTCACCATGGCAATTGCAACGCGGGCGGGAGCTTCGACTGGGTCGAGGGAAGCACAGGGAAGCACGGCACGCGAATCGATTCAAGCTTCAGGCTTCTCTTCTCTCTCCGATTTCTCACTCACGGCTTTCGGTGCTTTCGCATGATGGCGTCTAGATCCCGGACCCCAGGCGACCCAACAAGCTCAGGCCTCCGGATTCTGATCTCTCGCCTGCCATCTGTACGGTACATCGCACGAGCTGTGTTCGGCTGCTTGGGTGAAGACACAGTAAGCCGCAAAGCTAGCCATTGCCTCGATTGACAGAGCGTATGACAACCTCGGATCTCTTCTAGCGGGTTCGATGATGATGCAAGGTTCCGCTGAATGCATCACGACGACCAGCTGGCCGAAATCCTGAGCCAAAAACGCACAAAGAACACTCCAGGAGGCCTGGAAATCCAAGCCTTTTGGAGCTGTGGCCACTGAAACGCGACTTGGCAAACCAGCCGAAGCACTTGCGAAAGAAACACCTCCTATGCACTCCCAGAAGGACTTGCTGCAGGTGCCAGACCCATGTCTTGGCTTCCAAACCTGATCCTGACTTCCTAGGTTAGGTCCTAGGCTACCCTGAGGCCAATCCGAAACCCCGAACTTCTTTTGCATCACTGAAAACCCGTGTGCCTGGCTCCAAGCTTGGCTATCTTCAGGGAGACTGAAGCTCAATGGCCTCGGGTCTTGTAGAGCTCAAGACAGGGAGGGCTCAAGGCTCTGGGTTGAGAGGTTAGTGGCTTAACTTTCGGGCTCCTTTTTTTGTTGAGGGAGGGAAAGGGGGGAGGTTGAGGGTTTAGCGTCTAGTACGTGTAATAAAACCAGGATTACGACTCAACCCGAGACCCAATGGGGAAACAACTGCAGAACCCTTCGGACCTCACGATCTTTTTTCGAGAAAACAAAGCAGCCTTCGGTACAGACGTACATTCAACTGTGCTCGCAAGTGGGCTTCACGCACTCCCCCTCGCTTCTCCTTCCAAAAGAGAAGCGACAAGGAAGCACCCGGAAAACACAAAGTACTTCGCACTATATCCTAGAACACCCACTCGCTCCTGTACGATGCACATCTGTCCAACACGGGACAAAAACTGATTCAGGTCATCTCAATTCCGAGCCCATGAAACACGCATGGTCCTTTTTAAAAGGTAATTCCCGGCGAGAAATCAGCATCCCTTCTACCAGATTAACAGCAAGGGCAGGCACTCAACTAGTCATACACCCCTGTACACAAAGGTTCTAAAAGCCCAATATGAAATTGGATGACTGTAAAGCGCTCAACCCTCTCAAGGCTTTGCTCGTCCTCTCAGGACATAGTCTTCTTGGGTTCTTTAGTGGCTTCCCTCGCTCTACCGGAATCATGATCAAGGAATCTCAGTCGGACCCCGACGGCTCGGCTTCTTCTTGACGGACCAGATAATCACCTACGAGCCAGTGGAAATCCTCCTGAGTTTCCTCATCATAATCTGCAGGATCTACAGGGTAGCCAGCACGCCATAGGCAAAACAGAATACGATCACGATGAGGAACCCCTAACTCAAGAGGCAACGGAACATATGTACCCTCAGTCTGGCTCCCAACGGTCCGGCTACGCTCCGGGAGCTTCCTACAGCGGCAGAGCCCTATTCGCAACATTTCCCAGCTTCCTATGATCAAGGTCACCAAGACGCACCAAGCTAGCATGCTTCCACTACAGTCTTCTGGAGAGCCTCGTCCCCCATCCTCGCAAGGCCCCTGAGCAACTGTGTCAACACACACGGCAGACTCTCCCGAACCGTAAAGGACAACATCCTGGGACGCTGAAGCACTCTGAATTAGAACCCACCAAATCAGAACAACCAAACCAAAAACCCTTGGCCAACTAAGCGCGGGAGGTACCCAAAGAGGCAGTGCAGCATCGAGGGATTGAGCTGAGCTCTCAGACAAAGAACCTCCGAAGCCTCCAGCCTCTAGGCCCGCCTGAAACCTAGTCCAATCCCCACTGTTCAGACTCTGCACAACGCCTTCGATCGCCTCCTGAGTCCAACCTTCTAGGGTCACCAGAAACTCATCATCAACATAGTGAACCAAAAAAGCCCCAATCCTAGCCTCATACCAAAGTCCTGGCCCTGGAGCAGGCAGCTCAGGCAAGGCGACGGTAGTCGGGTCACCTTCACCCGGCTCCTCTTCTACCGGCATAACCGACTCAGACAGCCCTACAGAAGGCTCCATAGTTGACTGGCTTCCGCTGGACGACGAACCTGAGCCCTCGTACAACTCATCAAACATCATCCCAAACGGAAACCTCTCTGGAGTCTCAGGCCTTGGAGGCCCAAGCCGGTATCCCTATCTTCCACGGCTGCAAACGGATACCCTATGGCCCCATTCTGAATGTAAGCCTCTGCGGCATCATAAGTCGCCTGTGGATGGGCAACATAAAGTTGGTAAGTTCGCCGAAGCCAAACCGTCACTGCCAAGGTAGTACAGCTCCTAAACGCGTCTGCTGTGGCCCGGAAGAAACCCCATGTTCTGACTCTATCCCCAAGAAAATCCAAAACAGACCACCCAACTAACATGAACACTCGCCAGAGGTAATGCGCAACCATACCCGGTGGTCCCTCTATGTAAGGGAAAGAAACAGCGCTCGGAGGAGTATCTCGATCCTCTAGCAGCTCTCCCTCCGGAATAACCCCCATGGGGTGGCCACGAAAAAGAAAAGCTTCAGTGGCCTCGATCCACCCTGAGCCCTCATACAGCAGGGAATACCTTCCTCGCCGAAGCACTTCTACAACTGCGAAGACAATGGCATACCGAACTCCTGCCGAAACAGCTCTTAAGGAAAACCACTCTACAGCCCTCTCCCCAAGTGTCCATAGGACGGTCTCTCCAACTTGCGACAACAGCATTATAAGATAATGCCTATTGAGCCAGGAACCCACATACGGAAATCTGTCCACTAGCATGTCCTCTCCGTAATAGTCCTCATAACACAAGTCCAGGTCTGTCGTAGCCCTCATACCGTGACTCCCTGAGCTTCCTCCAACTTGAACCTGAGGCCCCACAACTGCAACCGGATCTTGACTTCCTGAGCTTCCTCCAACTTGAACCTGAGGACGAATCTCCGAAGAAGCTGCCTGCGAACCTAATCCCGCACTATCTGAACAACCAGGACTCCCCCTAACCTGACCAGCAGAATCCGAGGGAACACTGCCCTGATCCTGCCCACTTAGTGGGCGCTCCGACGGACTCCCCCTAACCTGACCAGCAGAATCCGATGGAACACTGCCCTGATCCTGTTCCGGTAAAGCCTGTCCAAAGCCTTCACTCAGTTCGCAAGCCCCCAAACTAACCGGAACCCAGGTTGAACCATCATACCGAAACTCAGCTCGGAAGCTCCAGGTAAAGAGCAGTCAACTCCAGTGTTAGACCACTGCTCCAACACCGCAATCACCACGTTGTGGCCGAAGGCACGCGAAACCCATCTTAACGCCCGCCAAACTCCGACTTGCATTCCCAAAAACTGACACAGTCTCTCCGAGTGCACACTCAAGGTTCCTAACAAGGCTACGGCAGCTGAGAAGAGTTCTGGCTGCGGAGCCTCATCCGCCTCAGACCCTTCCGGGCTCACCCCAGAGAACCAGGAAGGTACAGGTCCTCGCCTTTGCAAGAAGTTTGGCACCTCAACCAAGCCTCCTAAGGCAACTTGCTTACGAACACGGGCCCTCTGAACAAAAGTCAACCCGGAACTCCTCTCAGCTTCGGCCAGCTTTCTTTCCGCCTCGAGCCACTCTTTCTCAGAGAACTCGTCTGCAGACTCTTCTCCACAAGTTTCGGCAAGCCCTTCCTGTGAACCACCTATCACCTCCCTCGCGGACCCTGAAGAATCCTCAGCCCCTGCTTCCAAAACCGGCTCACCTAACTCAGCATCCGTCAAGAACGACTCAACGAACGCTTCGTCCAAAACAGCAAGCTCCGCAAAACCCGAAAGCAAGGCACTCTCAAGGCTCCCCTCAAACCAACTCGAAAGAAAACCACTCCAGAGAACCGATACCCCAATCATCAACACAGCTACTACCCACGCGAGCCAATCAGCTCCCTCAGACACCAATGCCCTGTCGGGCTGGGCATTCACTCGAGGGATCATTGCCAAAGGGGCCAAACCTGCAACAAGTTCCGGAGTTACATCTAAAGGACCCTGAACCCCTCGACTCAATGCCCTTGCTGAGGCTCGCTGGGATTCGGGGCTCAAAGGTTGGCCTATGTTTAAAAACCCTAACAATCTTAGGATTCTAGCTCGGCTCAGGGGTTTGGTTCCGAGGTCCGCCACCTGCAGGTCGCCTGCCAAATGACAGACTCTTAATAAACCAGCGGTGATTCTTTCGCGGCCCGAGACCGCGCGCATTCTCAGGTGGCGACTCCGCCAGGATGCGCTTACTGGGTCAAAAGCTCGGCAAGCCGCTTCGTTGTCTCCTAGGAGACACGCTTGCGTGTCCTCCCCTAGGAGTTCATCCAACAAGGGTTGGATGCTTTCCCCCAATTGGATCGCGTGCACCATAGAGACTAGCTCCGCCTCCGCAGATGACAGTGTTGTGAACGGTTGCCTGGTCACTTCCCAAGCCAAAGGTACAGATCTCCATACAAGGAAAATGGACTGCATTGATCTAGCTCCACCTGGGCTGTGAGAAGCATCAGTGTACAACTCCAACACTTTCTCTGTACGCGGCATGGCAAGTGACCCGTGCTCCGAGAAAAGATTCTTAATCTCAAACGGGATCTCGATACAAAAGTCCTGTGTGGAACGCAAGTAGCCCAACGTTTGCATACCGAAACTAATGGACAATTGAGGAACCTTCGTCGCCTGCTGTCCGCAGCGAGACACGGTGTAGGAAATGTCCGGTCTAGTTCGGGTTGCCACCCACAATAACGCTCCTGTAATGGCCTGTGCTTCTCTGACCTCATCGGCCGAAACAGATTCCGGCAACTCCGGATCAATCCATTTGGTGACCGGTACCGTCGCATCTTCAGTAACGTTGTACCTCGAAAGCAGCTCCTTAATATAGGCTCCCTGAGAAATTCGGTAGCCACGTTCCACTCGAACAATCTCCAAGCCGCAGAAAGTCACCGGAGTTTCCCCAATCCATTCAGGATCCGAGGTCTTCCAAAGGTCACGAATCGCCTTGATGCACTGCTGGGCTAAGCCAGACTCCGCGAACAGCGCCAAGTCGTCGACGTAAACCACCAAGATCCCAGCAGTCTCCCCAAGGCCCTCTTCAGTAACCTTCTGCAGAACCCATAGTGCGTCATCGGACTTCAGTTGAATCAAGCGATATTCCGCCCCCTGGTGACAGACCTTCAACTTACGGAACTCTGAGTCCCGATACCTACCCCAATCTCTCGGGGATGTGGGCAACCCATAAAGGGCCTTACGAATCCACCATCTATGTTCAGAAGAAAGGATACCCAGCTCCACCAGAAAATGCGGTGGCTTCACGATGATACGTTCCTCAGTCCCCTGATGCTCAGAACGAATCGGAGCATAAAGGAACGCTGACTTTACATCTATCGTGACCCCTACCCAAATAGGATGCATCGCCGCAAACACCAGGGCTACTTTCACCGACAAGGACTCCGCCCCAGAGGCATAAAGCTCTTCACGGGTCAACCCCAACTTATCCGTAGGAAGATAATTCCCGCAACACACCGCTCTACACCGCCTTTTGCCGGTTCCTGCTTTCCTAGTCAGAACCGCCTTTCCTGGCAACTGCACAATCAAGATACCATCCCGAGCCCACTGATCTACATCAGTCACAGATACACGATCCACCGCTCGGTTCGTATCCTCAAGACTCACTACCTCTTCTAAAGCTGGATCCCTCCATTTGGCGAGCTCGCCACGAGCCTCCACCAAGCTTACATTCCTAGTCTGCAAAAACTGCTCACTACCGGTTTCCGGTCGCTCGACTAAAGGAACTTCAAGTGTCAAAGACTTCAACGATCCTACACGATCCTCTTCAGACCAACAGCGCGTTAACAGCTCTTCCAAGAAATCCCGCCGCAATTCCTCTTGCTCAAGCTGATGCACAATCTGAAGAAGACCCTCTGGATCCCTCAATTCCCCGACAATCTCTTCCGTCAGCAAAGAACAGAGCCTAGCAGTACCTTCATGAAGCCGCCGTAACCCCAGAACATCATTCCCACTCAAAGGGTCGTCTGGCCAACTAACCACCCAGGCTTCACCCTCTACCTCAGGATTGCCCCGAAGGCTCTCAACTCTTCCTCTGCCTACGCTCCTAGGACCGTCCTCCAAACCAATCTCATCAACAGGGAAACCTAACTCCAATAAGTCCTCCCGATGATCCAACAACACCGTCCTAAAGTCCCTAGGCACAAAAGCTGAAATCACCCAACGGTCCCCAATCCACTCTTCAGAGGCATGCCAGGACTCAGCTGAAAACTTCAGGGTATGATCCCTCAGATCATAGACATGTCCCGGCAGCTTCAAACCATTCGGCATTTCCCGGATTGTCACGCCCGTATCGCTTTCAAGCCAAAGACCCCCACCCTTAAAGTCTCCAACAGCCCGAGCCAAGATAGGAAACTCAAGAGCATTCCGAAGGTCCCTATGTGGAGGCAGACAGGTATTCCGAGAAACATACAGGGTAGTCCAAACACCATCCGGGTTCTGAGACTTTACAAAGGCATTGAGATACTTAACCAGCAAAGGATACTCAATAGAAAACTTAGTCACCCCTCGGAAACCCCCCACTGCATACAAACCAAAGACAGCGGCCTTTCCCTGCCGTCCTGCAACCGGCCTGCGAGCTGAAGGCAACCTCCTAAGGCAATTCCTAAGAACCTCATAGCACTCCCCTACTGAGTAATCCCCTGCCTCGATCTTAGCTTGGAGCCACTCCTTAAGCTCATCATCACTCAGCTCGACACTAGCTACAATTCCCCTTGGCTCCCCGGGGCTACCCCAAACCTCTAGACCTTCTTCCTCTTCAGACTCAGTCCAACAACCGTCAAAGGCCTCACCAACCTTCAGGCAACCAAAATCTTCAGCTACTTCCAATCGAGCTACGAACCCAGAAGCCCCTGAATCCGAAAAACTTAAAAACTCCCAATCGCCAAGTGAGGGCTCCCCCCCAGGTGCAAACCTGGTATCAATGCACAGCGCATTCTGGGTAGCAGCTACGACTCTTGCAGCCACCGGCCACTGCAGCTCCGGCTCCGAGACCAAAGCACAGCTACGCAGTGCTACATCAAAGGAGCGCTTACCCGTAATCCTATGCTTAGGCTCCGGAAACACCGTGCTAGTCAACAAGACACGAGTAACCCCTTCGTCAGACACCAACACTAGGTGCCCACCGGGGGTGTGAGGCGCTTGCCCAATATACAAGCCACGAAGGGTTCTCGCCTGCCACTGAGATTCAAACCCCGTTTTCGTACGCTTTCTAGCCTCCACTGGGAGACCAAAAGCCAACAAAGGAGCTCGCGGAACCCCCAGCAACTCAGAGAAGAGGCACCAATTCCTGGCTGAGACATGAAGCAGGGCCAGCGGCCAAAACTCACGGCCAATCCGGGACGCCAGAAGCAACCGCCGGACGCCAGACTTAAGATTCTGAACAGCCAACTCTGCGTGATTACCGGCCGGCGCTTCACCTGGCGTCCAGGATGGGCTGATGCCTTTGTCCCGTAACCAAGCAACCAAAGGAGTAGAACGGAGTTCCTGGGCCCTGTCAGCGTGATACCTTTGCACTGGGTATCCTTGGGACTCCAACTGGTTAATTACAGACTGAATGTGGCCCAGAACTTCCTTTCCCCCTTTTGTGCGCAAAGGTACACCGATAAAGAGATTCCGCCGTTCCCCAGCTTCTTGAGGAGGATCGTCCTCCCCCCAATCTACCGGCCCGATTCCCCCTTCGGGGGATTCTGGTCGTTTGGTCCTAACCCTATGTGTAACTGCACACAGAAGCCCATCAGAACCTAAAGACTCAGCTTGACCGTCTTCAAATCCTCCTAAAACAGAAGCTACATTCGGGACAGCATCCCCCCCAGAACTAGGATCCCTATCCAAAGGCTGATACCCCGAAGGCACCGCATAAGAACACGCCAAAAAGAACCGGTAACCCTTACCTTTATCCCTTCCTGAAGCTGCCGGGTCAAACGACTGACCAGGGATGAATGGTCCTGCTATATCAAACGACGCTGAATGGACCGATGGAAACCCAGACCGCCAATGTGCTCGCCTACGACCCTGTGCCCGCACACATACAGGACATCCTTTAAGGTATGGACAATGATCATTTGCACTGTGTCGTTCAAACCTTTCCCGGCCACTCAACTTCCTCAACAACACCTGACGCTGTCCTACCTCGTCCAGCTTCCCTAACTCATTTCCCCAATCCAGCCAAAACCTCTGAACCTCACGAAGGAAACCCAAAGGCCATCCCGAGTTTCGGAGCGCAACTCCTCCCAAAGACAATCCAGGACCAAATCGCCCGTGTACGTGTTCAAACAGGAACCAAGAGGAGGTCAACAAGCGAACCCGATTGCTTCTCCCAAGACCAAACCAGCTCAAATCCAACTCAGCCACGTGAAACCCGTAAGCATCCTTAAAAGAGCTTAGCCCCTCGTCGAAACCCCCTAAAAACCGATCCCCATCTTGCTGTACCTCCCAGGGTTGCCCCCAGGCCACAAAGACAGGCGGTGAAACTCCACTCGACTTCCCACGGGCTCGCTCTGACGGACTCAGCTTATCTTTGGCCCTTTGAAGAGCCCACTCAACTAGTTTCCCTGGCTCCACAATCCCTGCTGGAGGCTGATCTAGCCCTGAATCTAGGGACTCAGAATGGGTACCCCTTAGTCGGCCGTCCTTAGCCGCTTGAGCAACCACAACCAACAAGAAAAACCGAAGATTAGCAATCATCTCATCTCGATCGGGAGTGCCACTGCTCAACGCCGGCTCGCTAATACTTCCTTGAGTCCGTTCCACTCTGCCTCCGCCTACAAAGCCTCCAATAAACCCCGACAAGGCCCACTTTAATACACACTTAAACGCCCTATCGTCACTAAGCTCCCTTCCGCAACCGACTAGCTTCAACACCCTACCATAACCTTTCCAACCTTCCCCAGAAGCAGAGCTACACACCAGGAGAGACTCTCGACCACCCCGTTCTACAGAGCGCCTCAACCGGCGATTCCAAGGAGACCCCGAACAGCCCTCCTCCTCTTCTAAAACGGAGACTTCGCAGGCTTCCTTCAACAACTCTAACGGCACGTGTGGAAACCAAACCCTCAGGATACAAAGTTGAACCTCGGCGGTCAGTCCTTCCGAACCAACCTCCTGCACCTTCTCCTTAAGCCAGGCTCTCCCGGTAGACTGATCTAGGCCAAACGACACAGGGTCCACCTCCAACCTCTTAAGTCCCCTAGACTGCCGGACACGCTCCTCGTAACGAGCCAGAATTGCCAACCCAACCTCCCTAGGAATAAGAGGACAACCCTTAACTACTTCTACTTTCAAGGAGCCTTCCTTGGGATGCCGTATCCTGCAGCCCTTTCGCTTCCAGGTAATAGTAAACCCCAACTCAACCAAGTAGTTCGCTGGAAGTATAACCTGACATTGTCCAACATGAAGGAGAGTGCCAAATTCATTCACCCGCAAATCCGTACCCCCACTCGCTAGATCTACGCGTATGACCCGGCAACCCCTCAGCTCCCCATCATTTGCAGGGCGAAGCGCGTTTGTCGCTCCGCTGTCCACCAAACAAAATGCGGGATCTGAGGCGCTCGTGAGAGCACTTCTTAACCACGTTGCATCCGGTGCTGGCTCTTGAAGCCTTAATGGCTTCAGTGAAACTCCCTTAAGCAGCTTCGCGGCTTCAGCCAGAAGAGCCTCTTGGCTTACACCACCGCCGGAACTACTACCCGAAGGGTTAGCGCTTCCGCCCTCAGGTTTGGGACTAACATCCTCGGTCACACCTTTCGCCTGCGCAGCCGGCTTAGGTTTGGGCTTCGCTTTAGGCCCTCCCTTTCCAGGAGCCTTAGGTGAGGCGTCGGAGCTGCTATCCCCCGTAGTCTGACGATTCTCGGGTGCCACCAGGGAGCACTCTGGTCGGTAATGGCCCGCTTGCCCGCATGCCAAACACTTACCCTCACGCCTAGCTCGGGCACGATCGTGTTTAAAGTGGCACGAATCACCAAACCTGCAACCCGACCCGTCAGAAAACTTATGACACAGTAACTCCTGAGGCTTCCCCTTTCCCTTACCCTTAGTTTCGTTCCCTGTCGCGGTTGCAGCAGCTACAGCAGCAGTCGGCCCCGTACCCGGATTCCCGGTATTGGGAACCGGTGCAGGCGGGGGCTTCGGCGCAGGAGGAGGATCCTTTGGAACCGCTAAAGCTGCACTCCTAGCTCTCTTATCACCCCCACTGCCCTCTGCCAAAGCCACAGCCTCACATTCAGCTTGCAGAAGTCGCACTAACTGCACAACACCAGCCGTTGTAGGGTTATAATCCAACGCAATCCTATGTCTGAAGGCATTCACCCTAAAGCTAATCATTGGATTCGTAGACAGCAATCCCGCAGTCGCGCTATCAACGCCCTTTAACAAAAGTGAAGCATCCGGTAATGTCGCCCTTACTTCCTGCGCACGGACTAAATTCTGTTGCCATCTTCGAAGCCCCGCTAGAGCATCCCTAAAGGACTTCAAAGGCTCAGGTTGAACCAAAGTTGTGAGCAACAGAGCTCGTTCCGATGCGCCTCCAGGTTGAAAAAGACACAAAACCCGAAATAAGATAGAGCTTGACGCAAGCCATCTATTCGTGATAACGTCATCCCTTACAGCTTGTGGCAAAGCCGCCAACAACAAGGACACCGCCCGACTTTCTACTCTTTGAAACCTTACCGGGTCGAAGGTGGCTACAATAGACGCCGGGTCAAGACTAACCCTACCCAACGGGTCAGCTACTAACCACCTAGAGTACCCCTGAGAAGCTGCCTCTTCCACACTGCTAAACCAAAGGTCTGCACTAGGCGACAATCCCATAAAGATCTGTCTAATTTGGGCCAACCAGTTGCCACACACTATAGCACTCGTTGAAAGATCCGCTTGTACAAGCTTAGGGAGTTCCGTTATGTAGCGGGCCGGTTCCTCAGGTCTAGTCCCCTGCCCTAACAAGCCCGGATTGCCCTGAGTTCCAAACCCTGGTTGCGCTCCCGAACCTCCTAGCCCTATCGGGAAACCCGCGGAAACCTCCGAACTCCCAGGAAACACCCCCAAAGAAGCAGCGGCTACAGGTCCCCCGCCTAACTGAGAAGAACCCAATGGTAAGCCTCCTAGACCGACATTCGCACCCCCGAATCCAGAAAGAGGAAACCCTGAGGCTCCCCCCGGCAATGGACCCGGCGAAACTGCAGGACAAGCTCCAGCTACGCCGAACCCCGAAGATCCAGCAATCTCCGCAAATCCCAAACCTCTCCCGGAAGGGGCCTGGCCTGCTCCCGGAAAGCCCGCAGCCGATGCCGTCGGAGGCGGTAGTGGTGGAGGCCGAATCACCGTCCCCCCAGGAGACAACGGATAACCATTCGCATCAAACCCTGAAGTTCCTGCCCCTGTAGATCTTGGAGTATGAAACCCTCCTGACATTTCCAAGGCCTGCGCCGTGAATTGCCTCATGGTTTGGGCCTGGGGTCCTGATTCCTCAGCTCCCATAATAGACCCCGTTAGAGTCGGGTTAGGCCTGGGCCCCTCATATAATGCCAACGCGCAAGCATTCTCCCCCGGAATCGAACCCCCTAGCCCCGAAGCTCCACCCTCTGGTCTAGATACAGGTAGGTTCGGAGGCTCCGCAGAACAATCTTGCCCTGCCCTTAGTTCGAACCCTTGCACCGAGGAAGCCGGGAAATGCGAGGAGCCTAGCATCGCTTCCAGCGATGGTGGAGGCTGTACAGGCTGTCCCATTCCTACTGCCGGATTAACGTAGGGAGCGTTAGAGCCCCTCACTCCTCCAGCCGCGAAAGACATAGGCGACGAAGCCGCCACTGCAGGTTCACCTGTAGTACCCGTATGCCAGGACGAGTGGGATCGTTGTTCAGCCTGCTCCAAGCGACGCTTGAGGTTCCTGTTTTCCTCAAGAATCTGCATGAGCATCGCCTCCATACCTCCAGCGCCGCGCGAGTCAGGAACCAACTCTTCATCTCCCGTCGTGCTCACACCAGCTCCAGATGCCAAAGTGGCTGGCTCTGGCTTTTCCTCCACAAGATGGCCCGTGGCCATCCGGGTTCTCCCAGAGTCCACAGGAGTTCCAGGAAAGCTTCGCTCCGACAAGGGCCCTCGGCTCTCGCCCGATGTTTCCACTCGCGCCACTCTAGGCCCGGTTGCCTCATTCACATGAAATACAGCAGAATAATCAGGCTCAGCACCTTGCTCATCTTCCCGATCTTCTGCCGCACCTCCAAATGCGATTGCCCTTCCTTCAGCTCCTTCACGCAGTCGCTGCCCATCCTCATCTAAGGATGAGGGGCGGTTCCGCAGTAACTGAATTTCAGACTGAACCCGTTCACTATGAAACGGGTGTGCCACCAGGAGCGGTTCGGCTCCAGTCACACCAGACCCTTGGCCCATCTCCAAAGTATTGGGCGACGCTTCGCCCTTCAAACCCGGAGTGGGTTGCAAACCATCCACTCCCGCTTGACCCAAGGCTGCTTGGTATGCCGCCTCAAAGGCAGCCGATTCAGCTTCTGGCTCGCCCGCTCCTCCGGCCCTTCGACGACGGGACACGGTATCCATAGCAGGTGACTACAAAGGCCGACAAACTCACAGACGCTTCGAAGCTTACCCTACAGGTCTAAAGCCCTTAAACTACGCCGATACGGCTGATAACCTACGTGTAATAAAACCAGGATTACGACTCAACCCGAGACCCAATGGGGAAACAACTGCAGAACCCTTCGGACCTCACGATCTTTTTTCGAGAAAACAAAACAGCCTTCGGTACAGACGTACATTCAACTGTGCTCGCAAGTGGGCTTCACGCATCTAGGGCTGAATCGGCTTATGGTTCTGGATATCAAGATTAAGGTCCTAGAGTTCCTAAGATGCAAGGCTTGGGACTCCATGGATGCTTCGAGGCTTGGTGTCAGAAGCGGGATGGCTTCGGAATCTTCGGAGGTTTGCAGAACATATTGCAAAGCCATCTCTGGGTTCAACTAACGATGCTCAACAAGCACACAAGAAGCAATGCATCGGTTGCTTTAAAGTAGGTTCCTCTGATCCTCCGAAACCCGGATCTCAGCGCCGCACATGATGTTGTAGTCTTTTGGGAACTGTCGCTTCATCCTGTCCCGCGGCAGTTGCCGCTCTTGACAGAGGTATTCGCTGAGTTTCAGGAACCGAACCACAGCGGCCAAGACTTGAAGCCAAAGCCGAGGAGCCGGGAACCCATATTGAATGATACACCCTGAACAGATTCGGTGGTTTAGAACTCTGGCTTCGCAACCTCTCAAGTTCGATCATGCTTTCCCAAAGAGCTCTGTCTCGTCTCTGCACACTGGACTAGACAAGCTAGATTCTACTCGTGTGTTGCAAGGCTGCCCAGCGAACTACGAACCGCCTGTGGATGTTCTTGCCCAGAAGGTCCTGACAGACAGTGCAATTGAAGGCTTAAAGACTGCTTTGCGGGTTAAGGTGTAGAATAAGCTCTGGAAATGGATTTCTGCGTTCTGGACGTAAGTCTTCCCTAAACCCTAAACCCAAAGTCTCAGCAGTGCGAGCTAGGTCGGACACTCACTGTTGTTGCGAGCAGTCTTGTGCATGCCCGCAACCCTTGTTTTTCCAAGCATATACTGTAGCATGGCTTGAAATCATAGGGTTGGAGAGGTTGGGGCTCAAGTTTCGGTCTTCCGAATAGCAATATGTCCTTCTATTTGTCCAATGTTCATTTCATCTGACTGTCTGTCTGAAGAGAGAAAGAGAGAGAGAGAGAGAGAGAGAGAGAGAGAGAGAGAGAGAGAGAGAGAGAGCGACAGAGAGAGCGCGCGAGCGAAGAGGGGAGGGATGCGTGTAAGAGAAGGAAAGATGCACAGACGGAGATAGATGGACTGTGGCATCAAGCGCGCACCCTCGAACCTGAACCATGCCCTGCCTTCCGCCCAAATTGCCAGGAGCTCGGAAAGTGGTTTGCCCTCTCGAAAGGGTTGAAGCTCCGCAGCCTTGAGAGTTAGGATGCTGGAATTCTTTGGGATTTGGTGTTTTGGGTTTACGCCTTAGGCGCCGACATCTCCGGCGTGGGATGTGGACCTGTTGCAGAGTAGGCTCTTGAATTGGATGGAGGACAGGGACGAAACTGCATCATAAACTGGAGCTGTCTCTGGCGACCAACACAGCCCTGGTCAATACCACCTACTATACTTGCTATACATTGGCCTTTCGTGGCTATCTGTGCCGTAACTGTTTGTCGCACCCCAGAGCTGCCGAGCACCGAGCCCCAGTAGATGGCAAACTTCGGCGAGCCAACTGGGACACGGGTCCAACCAGCCATCCTGGCAGCTGCATGCAGACGAGAAGAATAGGTGAAGTCTTCGGTGAAGTGGCACTCTTCCAAACCAAGTCAAAGCATCACCGAGCCACAGTCTTAAGCACATGACTGCACTCTCGGAAGGACTTGGCAGGGCGCTTCAATGTGTTGACGACCGCGTTGTACCTTCAAGAGATTTCAAAAGCTCGAAGGCTCAAGTGCCGCAGGAGTACAAAATCATCGTAGTCGCATCGCCCCGGCAACGAAAAGCGACCAAAAGCGTTTACACTAACTATTGATACGGATAGGGAACTTGCCAAAAACGACAGCAAGCGGAATACGTTTGGCGGGTTCATTGCAATCCAGTGTGCACGCTCAGGGAGAAGATGTCCCTTTCCCTCTGCATGAATCAAACACGTCTGGCCAATTCGGGTACACACATTACTGTATGAGGTACCGAGCATGTTCAAGCTTCCTTCTGCATTCTCGTCCGATCCTCCCCACCCCGAATTCTACATATTGCAGTGTACATGTAAGCATATGCACACATATAACTGTGCATACATACCTGCACGCCCGCATACACACATATGTAATTATATATGAACTTGAGAAGAGGGCAAGGAAAGCTAGGGGAAAGGAAGCGTAGCTGGGAACACGGGGTGACTAGTGAGGCGATGCGAATGACTTGCATGGGGGGGACGTTTGACATGAAGACTACAACTGAAACAAAGGCGTGGAGCCACGAGAGAGACGCAAGAGCTGGAGCCAAGCCGCAGCGCAAGAAACAGACTTCAAACAGAAGCAAACTGAGGGACAACCCAGGGCCTCCAAAGTCCCTAAGGGATAGGTTTAGGGGAGCGGCGCTCACGCTCGGATAGGTTTAGGGTTTAGGGTTTAGGGCCCTACTACACTGAAGTATAGTCTTTATTTGTGTTGTTTTGGAGGCTCTGGGTAAGTTGCATCCAATAAGTGTGGGTTGGTTGACACTTAGGGCTTACTTGCAGCTAACAGCTTAGCACTGTCGGCCTCATTCCTCACGCAAGCAATCTCAAGCGTTGAACACTCCGCTTTTGGAGTCTAGGTTGCTTGTGGCTTCGGATGCAGAGAGGTTGACTCTGTTTCTCCGACACCCCCGACATCGTCTCGGCAATCAGGATGTTCGGGGTTCAAAAAAGCGTCGGGTGACATCGGGGGCTACGGCCTGAAGTGCACCAATAAGTTCAAGGCTAGAATACAAATCCAGGGATCCCATGTTTGGGCTAGTCCCCACCTACAGATTGCTGGCATCAATGTAAGAAGGGAGCACCACCCCACAGCTCGTTAACTTATTGAATTTCATACCAGATAAGGCCCACGGTCGCTTGTTATGTTGGCCCGCCTGGTCACTAGGGACCAAACGAATGGTTGTAAACGACAACTCTCGCAAGCTCCAAAGAGCTGGCTGCCGTGATAGCCCTTTATCAGCGTGAGGGCCCAAACTCTGGTCGACAAGCCTCCACAGTGCAGCCGATGCGAAGCCATCCCTGCTCACGACTTGCACCGAATGCCATGCCCTCGCTTGATACCTGACAGAAGCTCGTGCGTATCAAACGGCTTGTACCATACATTGCGAGCTTCACCCAACCTGTCACTTGTTGCTGTTCTGGGGCTTTCTTCAATTTTCTTAGAGTTTGAACGCTACACCTTGTATTGTGGGTTATGGATTATAGTGGATTGTCGCTTGTGAGTGTCTCTGCTTGTGCTCTTGGAGATCGCTTGAGCCGAGAAGAACGTGGCTGGAGCTGGCTTCGGCGGTTCAAAGCTCACACGAGCTCAGCAACCGATGCAACTGTCCCGTTGCTCTGTTGCGCATACACTCGAGTCGCATAAGCACTGGCATGTCCATGATGTTCAACTGTAGAAGTTAGAAGCAGATGAACCCTGAGACTGACCAGCTCCCCATCCTGGCTCCAAGCACTTTCGGTCAAAACTCTACATGAGATCACGAGAGCATCTCTCAGGTTTCGTGTGCTCAGATTGCTGCTCTGCATGACATGGTTACGCAGAATCATGATGCTGCACTATCTGGAGGCCTCAAAATGAACCCTAAGCAGCTAAGAAATCAGGAGTGTACAATACTGGGAGCCAACAGATGCAGTAAACGTCTTCAGAACAGTCCAACTGAATTCTCACTTTCAATTGTATGCAGCAACTCCTTGAATGGCCTCAGTTTTCGACTGGCTGGCCCCCGGACGGAGCAGTGGCTTGCGAAACTGAAACGCCAGAATGCCCGGCACATGGGTTGGTTGGCGGGATGTGAGCTGTCGACATGATAGGTGGTAGAACTTTTGACATCGGTCATCTTAGTACGTAGATTGCTCCGACGAAAAGGCTACCGAGACTTCTTGCGGTCTGTCTTGTTCCTAAAGTTGGACCAAGAACATTTGAACCGTGTAGTCCTTTGGGTTAAACCATAAACCGTATCCTAGACGTCTTTAAGAAGCCGCTCACGTTCTGGCAACCTTCACGGGCCGCGAAGGTTTCCGTCGTTGCGACCTGTGCGAAATGCTCCAGCAAACACCAATGATCAGGTCTTGAGTTTACCTACACATCGAATGGATGTTTGGCGGCTTTTTGATACAACAGAAAATCAAACAACCGGAAAATCACCAGGAGACAGACCACCAGGACAGACAACCAATACGGTTGAAGAGCATTCAGGAAACAAGGTCAAAATGCCTTCCCAAGCACTGGTGGTTTGGAATTTGCAACATTCCAGCAAACGCGAGCAATGACTATGCTACTCACCAGTCAAAGCCATCGTTTGCCGCAAAACATATTGCGTGTCGTGCTTCGAGCCCGCCCTGTTTGATTCTCTTTACTCTGCACGGCGGAGCACCATGGTGTGTGACACGCTGTTTAAGGAACATCTGCGAACCATATGCCACAACCCCGAAACCTAAGTCAGGCTTACAAAAGCCATTCGGAGGTCATATCAAATGAAACAAAGATTGTTCCCAAAATCTCTGGCTCAGCTTGTGCATGTGTTCCTGGCGGTGCAAAATGTGGAACCGTTTCTTCAGTTGGGTTCCAGCTTGCAGGGTGTCCTGTCAACCCGGACCCAGTAAGGCCATGATTCGAGGAGTTCAGGAGACACTCGGGTCCTAGGCACGATTTCCTCCTTGTGCTAGACTTACCTTGCAGATGTTCAAGATGTTTAGGATTTCGGTGTTGTGTGGGTCAATCGTAAGTCCCGGAAGCAGGGCGGCCGCAAGGACTTCAGAAATCTATT